GGCCCTAGATCTTGAGTATTTAAAAAATAAACTCAAAAAGATGCCCATTTTTTTCTTTCCATTCTTAAATTTGTTAGAAGAATAATTTCTCAAATCATTTTATTGGGCATGAGAGTTTAGATTTTATTTTACTTCCTCCTTTATTCTTTTCTGTATTGTTTGCATTAAAGAAAGGATGAGTTTTTACATTTTATTTCTCAAATTAAAATGCAGTAAAAGGGGCTTTTTTGTGTGTGCGCACTTTTATGAGTTTTAACACATGTGTAGAGTTTAACACATGTAACCATCACCACACGCAAAATCCAGGACAGCTTCAGCACCCACAGCCTCCCTCCTACTGCCCCTCAGGACTCAGGCCCTCCCCCACCCTTAGTCCCGGAAACCACTGGTCTCTGCTCCGTCCCCATTGTTTTGCCTTCTGCCGACTCTCATACAAATAGAATCCTACAGTAGGAAGCTTTGAGACCGGGTTCTGTCACTCAGCAGAATGTCTCTGAGATTCATCCATGTTGTAGGTATCAGTAGTTCTTTCCTTCCTATTGCTGAGAAATATCCCATCGTGTGGATGTGCCAGCTGCTTATCCAGTCACCTGCTGAAGTACATTGGGGTGGCTCCAGCTTGGGGTGATTATGAATTGAGCTACCAACATTCATGTACAGGTTTCTTAGTGAACTCTTAAATCATTGTTTAAGTACAAAGATCATAGAGAATTTGCCCAAAACAATCATGGACACATCTTTGTAAGCTAACAAAAATACTAAACCTAGATTTAGAAGGTGAATTATGGCTTCTTGTGATGCTCTGAGTGCAAAGGTCAAGGGGAGTTAAGTTTGTAGCAATACCAGGTGTCCCAACTGTGCCACCTTCTTGGGGGGCTTTAGAGGAGAGCAAAGGAAAGAGGAGATCAGCACCACCCCGGGGCCACCCCAGTGCCACTCGCTGCAGGAAACTAGTCCCACCTCTAATTCATTTTCCTAGGCCATTGCTTTCATGGTAGAGTCCAGCAGATTCTCTCTTCTTAGGAGGTGACATAATTAGTGGTAAGTCCTTTACAATCACTATGTAAATTCAAGAAATAGGTGAGAAACAAATAACTGTGACAGTGCAGGGAAGCCAGTGTTCTTTCTAAAGATACAACAGAAAATATAAGGGCAGTTGGATGGGCAATTGCAGGCAGAACCTTGTACAGAAACGTCCATGAACAAAAGAAATCTAGATTGATGAGACAGAAAATAGAAACACACATTAAACCAAATTAGGGATAGAATGTAATATGACAAAGTGGACATTAAAAGCAATGGGAGGGCTTCCCTGATGGTGCAGTGGTTAAGGATCCGCCTGCCAGTGCAGGGGACACGGGTTTGAGCCCTGGTCTGGGAAGATCCCACATGCCACGGAACAACTAAGCCCGTGCACCAGAACTACTGAGTCTGTGCGCTAGAGCCCGCGAGCCACAACTACTGAGCCCGAGTGTCACAACTACTGAAGCCCACGCGCCTAGAGCCCATGCTCTGCAACAAGAGAAGCCACCCAATGAGAAGCCCGTGCACCGCAACGAAGAGTAGCCCCCGCTCGCCACAACTAGAGAAAAGCCCCTGCACAGCAACAAAGACCCAAGACAGCCAAAAATTTAAACAAATAAATAAATTTTTAAAAATTAATAAATTAAATAAATAAATAAAAGCAATGGGAGAGGGACTTCCCTGGTGGCGCAGTGGTTAAGAATCCGCCTGCCAATGCAGGGGACATGGGTTCGATCCCTCGTCTGGGAAGGTCCCACATGCCACAGAGCAACTAAGCCCATGCGCCACAACTACTGAGCCCGTGTGCTGCAACTAGAGATGAAGACCCAACATGGAGAAAAAAAAAAAAAAACGGCACTAGCCAATGGTAACATGTGGGCTGAAAGTGCTTGTTTTGCCCAGGACAATGGAAACACTGATTAGCTTTAGGCTTTACAAGTTTAGAACACATGTTAAAATTTTAAGGATAATCAATATAAGAATAGAAATAAAATATTTAAGCCTCAAGGCAGTGGAGGAAAAAAAAGAGTGATAAGAAAAACTCAGCCAGAACCAAACATGATGGAGAAAAAAGAAAGAACCAAGTAAATCACAGAGAGTACAAAGTAAAGTGGTGGGGAAAATCCAAATACATCTATTACAACAAACGGAAACAGACTAAACTGGACCATTACAAAGGCAAAGATGTTCATTTTGGAATTTTAAAAATACAGATATATGCTATTTTACAAGAAATACACTGAAACCATGACAGTAAAAGAGTGAAAACGAGAGGTTGGGAAAAGAGATACCTGACAAATACTAATCAAAAGAAAAGTGTTATGGGTATTTTAATAGCAGATAAGATAGACTATAAAAGCCAGAGGGATAAAAGGGTAGTGATATAATTTTGAAGGGGACAGTTGGCCAGGAAGATATGACGAAGCTTCACTTCCTGACATGTGCACCAGGAGGCATATACCAGATTTATAATTCCTTATATTAGCACTTGGGAGTTCACCCTGCTGTTGCCTCTTGCGCCCTGCTCCACTGGGAATTCTGGGTGGGTGACATGACAAAGGTCATGACTCAGAAATCCCTGGATCCCTGGCTAGAACACGTGAATACCAACACATCTCTGGCCACCCTCAGCCTCCTAATGCACTCACTCTATGTGCCTATCAGTCTTCACAGCCATCATCCCCTGGCAGCCACTCTGGCCAGGAACTCTTTGTTATTTATTTCTGCATTCTTAGCGCCTCCTACAATGGCCAGCATCAGTAGGCATCCATAAAATTATAATTTTGAAGACTATGAAGCCAATGTGAAGAATGGTATAATATGCATATTCCCATTTAAAAAGCATGATATAAAACTGTAGGTGCATTCTGATTACAAATAAGTAAAAATTATATATGTATGTGGATACAAAGTGGAAGAGAATGTGGAAAAATGAAAACAGTCAATTGGTTATGTAAGGTGGATGGTGACTTTTTGATTTCTATTACTGCTACTACATTATTACTCGTGTAATTTTGGAAATGAAACAAAAAGAAATGGCTATACACCTCTTAGCTATCCAAGAAAGTAATTCCTAAAAGATTTCACTATGTACAGGCAGGAAAATAGAGCTGTTTTCTGAGCCATGGAAATATTTATGCCCTTCGCTCTAGAAGCCATGGTGGTAACACACAGGCGATTCTCTCTGGATACATAGGGTGCTGAGAAGGGAAGGAAGTGCTATGGGAAATGGGGCCAGCTGGTCTAGCTCAGTCCTATTTTTTCCTTCTCGTTCTGTAATGCCCCCCCCCCTTCTAGGTAACCCCAAGGTGTCCTCCAACTATTCAGTTTCACAGGACAATCTTTCCATCAGCCTCAACCCCATGTCCCCTGAGAAAAGGTTCTCTGAGTTATCTGGACAGAAAACCAGGTAAATTAAAGACAGTATTCCTCACCCAAAGTTTGGTCTATATATACCATTTCCAACTAAAGGTAAATAGAAGTCCTTGGAGAGATGGCTGATTCCAGGTCTGGGGCAAGAGATGTACCAGAAGAGCCTAGAGCATTTCGTTATACCAAGAAATGCTACCAAAGACTACTAGGGTCACACCAGCAGGACTCCGGAGGCAACACAAAAAGCCTCCCGGTGGCCAAGACAGAACAAATTGAGTATCAAGGAGAATAATAACTGTAATGAATTGAAAGACATCAAACATGTTAACATTCATGAGTTCATAATAACTCTTTTTTAAGAAAAGTCACTCATAGCTCACTTCTGGAGGATGCTAGGAAACCAATTCATTATTTTGAAAAGTAGTGAGGGGAAAGAACCAAGGAGATCCTACCTTTTTTACACTAACTGTATCTCATTGTTACCAAATGGTTGGAAAGGGGAAGTTTGCATTACAGAAGTACTCCAACTAATAAAGGAGAAACAGTAGACACAGAGCGTCACCACCTTACAATCCCTAGTGAACTGATGGATATAGGGGTGATCAACAAGGGCTGCTAACATCACAAGAAGAAAGACAAGCAGTCCATACATGCTTGCTACCACCTATGAAGTGTTCTTGACCCCCAAATTGAACGTAGATCTGTGCATGTATCAATTCAGGGGCAGGGACTGGGGGCGGAGGGAGACAGGCGAGCATGTTACATGACACCCTGGGTTGCAATCAGTCAGATTCGGATTGTAAGAAACTCTACATAACAAACAATCCAGACTTCTTCTACAAATGCATCTTAAGGGGGGAAAATTAACAAATGGAGAGAGACCCTGCAGATTAAAAAAGAATTGTGGCAAATCAATCAACTGCAATGTACAGATTTGATCTGGATCTTGACTCAAATAAGTTATAAAAGAAAATGTGAGACAATCAGTTAAATTTGAACTCTGACTGGATATTTATTAATATTATTGATAATTCTATTAGGTGTGAAACAGTATTTTCACCATGTTTCTAAAAAGAGTTCTTATCGAGAGACATAGATCTTTTCAATGAAATATGATGTCTGGTATTTGCTTCAAAAATATCTGAGGTTGGGCTTCCCTGGTGGCGCAGCGGTTGAGAGTCCGCCTGCCAATGCAGGGGACACGGGTTCGTGCCCCGGTCCGGGAAGATCCCACATGCCGCGGAGCAGCTGGGCCCGTGAGCCATGGCCGCTGAGCCTGCGCGTCCGGAGCCTGTGCTCCGCTACGGGAGAGGCCACAGCAGTGAGAGGCCCGCGTACCGCAAAAAAAAAAAAAAAAAAATCTGAGGTTGAGGAAAAATGGGCAGGGATAGCAATGAAATGATTGACCATGAGTGGGAAGTTGCAGGCGGGTAGTGGGAGCATTCGTGGATTCATTACATTATTCTCTTTACTTCTGCATGTGTTTGAAATTTTCAATAGTAAAAAAGTCTAAAACATTCATAAAAAATAAATAAAGCTGTTCCTGATCCTCACAGTTGACATTTGGGGAAAAAAAAATGTCAAGGAAACAACGGGACTCTTACCTTTTCATTAACTGGATGAAAATTCTTCTTGGTAATCGGTATACAAAGGTGTCGAGGACAATCTTTAGGTAATTCAAAGATACGTATCCACGTTTGGACGGGTCCCCTGCACTCAGGGCCTTTTCAACCTTTTCATAGGACTTTGTTTGAAAGCTGCAGTGAATTAAAATTAGAGTACAGCATTCACAGAAATCAGCGGCACAGAGCTGCTCAACCACTTTATTTTCACCAAAACCTCTTCACATTTTCCTTTCCAAAACTGATCAAAAAGGTTACTATGGCATGTACTGAACTTCAAATGTTTAATTGATGAGCTCACTACAAAACAGTATCCCCAGTCATAGCTACTCAACTGACAAGGTAGACAAGTTTCTCAGGGAAAAACAGCACATACAATAGCTCTAACTCAAATTTCAGAGCTAAAAATACTTGGTGGATCTGCCAGTTTGATACATCTTTCTTAATATACTCTCAACCTATCCCTACTGTGAGCCCATGCTAGGCTGCTCCTGATTAAGTCCGGTCAATCAAACAAAAAGCTGGTGACATTTTATTAAAAAGAGACGTAGCTCTGACTGTAAGGGAAATCGTCAGGATTTTCATAAACATCGTACACAATGGACATTTCTTTAATTATCCTTTTTTTTCGGGGGGGGGGGAATTACAAAGAACCAGGGTGAATCAGCTTTGCTTATGGGACTTCTAAAATGCGGTAAAGTAGGTTAACCACTGATTTTTATATGACTCATAAAAATGCTATGAAGATTGGTTTTATTTCCAAAGGTTTTCCTGCTGTTTATTACTGAGAAATAACAATATTCTTCGATATTTCCAACCCTCTCCACATTGTCTGAATTCACTTTTTTTCCTGCTAACTGGGATACAAAGATAAACAAAAGAAACACCAACTTGGTGTAAAAGGTGACGTTTAAAAAGCTGCTGGAACATGGAAATATATGTACAAGTGTCTCTCTCCACTAAAGGAATAAGAAGCACATTCACTAAGACTTCCTGAAGGTGCACAGGAATATCGGAAATCTAAGGGGAAATCTTTAAAAGAATCTAGAGACTTACAGGGCCTAAGCTTCTTAGAAAGTTGCATAAAATTAACCCAAAATGTGGCTAAATGTGCCCATCTCTCTCTCTCGGGGAGGTGGGCTGCCTGGGGGAAGCCTCTAGTGGAGGGAAGCCAAAGCCAGACATGGAGTCTGGTCTCAGTATATTTATTGGATTAATGAAATCTGCTTTTAATATCTTAATGACATTTAGTCTCCAATCAGGTGTTTTTCAGGAGAGTGTTTTGACATAATCCAGAGCTCTTAGAAGAAAAGCGGGAATGAAACAAAAGTAATGTCTTTGTTTTTCTGTTTTTTTTTTTTTTTTTAAGACTTTATTGAATTTGTTACAATATTGCTTCTGTTTCAATGTCTTGGTTTTTTGGCCATGGAGGCATGTGGGATCTTAGCTCCCTGACCAGGGATCGAGGGATCTGATCGAACCTGCACCCTCTACATTGGAAGGCGAAGTCTCTACCACTGGGCCGCCAGGGAAGTCCCCAGAAGTAATGTCTTTGTGACACATAAAACTTTATAGGAATTTTCATCATTACTGTTTATAATGAAACAAACAAAAAAATGCAAGCAATTCAGCAAAGTATAAAAAAGGACATAAAGATACCGGAAGTCTCACTACCCACAGGTTTTTATATGGTGTTCCAAAAACTCCAACATGATCACATAAACATATATTATAATTTTACAAAAATGGGACCATACTACACTTTCAGTTTTGACAAATGCTTTTTTCCTTTAACAATATGTCATGAAACTTTTCCCACAAGAACTAGTGTGTATCTGCATCACACTTTTGAAATGATACATGGCAGCCATCATGTTATGGATGGACAAGCGAAAGGTACACCCATTTTCCATGTTTAAACGCTTGCGTTTTATAAATGTTCCCCTGACCCCCAATCTAAATGAGGCTCCCCTTGTTATTCTCTCTTATAATACCCCATCCTTTTCTGTCATACCACTCTAGGAAAATGGTAGTTACGAATGTGTATTTGTTTAACATCTTTCTCCCTGATGTAAGGTCATGCAATCTCCATGAGAGCCAAGATTGTGCCCTGTTTTGTTCACTAATAATTATCTAAAAGGAACCACAATTCGGCATGCGGTAGGCACTCAATAAATATTTGTTAAAAATGGATACATTTTTACCAAAAATGTTCTAAAGAAAGGTTGTAAAATGTAAGGAGCTATCTGACACATCAGTAAAAAGAGAAACAAAATTTAAATTATAGCTGAAATGCCATTTAATCCGCATCAGACTGGTAAAAATGTACAACTCTAATGATATCAAGAGCTGGTGGGTACATTGGACAACAGGAATTCTCATATGCTCCCAATGGGAGTGTGAATTGGTATTCTGAAAAATAACTGGATACTGCCAATGAAAGCTGAGGAGCATGTTCCCTACAACCTAGCAAGGAATGCTGGGTGTAATTGCCAGAGACACCTTAGCAGGCATGCACCAGAAGATATGGAGCCATCCACTTACGGTGGCATCATTTGGATGAGCACAAAACAGGGAGCAATCCAATGCCCATCCCTGGGCAGCGCATTATCTGTGCATATATAGCTAATGGAGAACTGTACAGCAGTGAAAATGAAAATACAGCTACCTCCATAATATGAGTGGATCTCATCCTAAGCACAAGCAGGATGAAAATAAATGGTTTTACAACTATGCAAACACACTATAGAAAAAGAAAGAAAGAAACAAACATCAAGCAAAAGACAAAGAACCCAATCTGTAGGAGAACAGGATACAAAAAAAAAAATATATATATATATATATATATATATATATATATATATATATATATATATCACCAGCAAAGCTTTCATACTATAAAAAGGAACTAAATAAGAATATAAATTCATTAAAAGAAAAGCTTGAAGACAAGATGATAAAACAATGAAAGAAAGAAAAAGAAACAATGAAAGAGAGTAGAAGGATATTTCAAAGTTAAGAAAATAGAAAACAGAAACAACATCATTACAGGAACTAATAACAAATTAGAAACAGCAAGAATAAAAGACAAGGCTGAAATTAAAATTAATAGTAAAGGAATGGCTTGGGAATTCCCTGGCAGTCCCATGGTTAGGACTCAGCACTCTCACTGCCAGGGCCCTGGGTTCCATCCCTGGTCGGGGAATTAAGATCCTGTAAGCCGTAAGGTGTGGTCAAAAAAAAGAAAAAAGAAAAAAAAAGAATGGCTTGAAAGATTCCCAATGAAGGCGGAGGAAAAGGACAAAAGTATTATGGCATTTTGGGCTTCCCGGGTGGCGCAGTGGTTGAGAGTCCGCGTGCCGATGCAGGGGACACGGGTTCGTGCCCCGGTCCGGGAAGATCCCACATGCCGTGCAGCGGCTGGGCCCGTGAGCCATGGCCGCTGAGCCTGCGCGTCCGGAGCCTGTGCTCCGCAACGGGAGAGGCCACAACGGTGAGGGGCCCGCGGACCGCAAAAAAAAAAAAAAAAAAGAAAAAAGTATTATGGCATTTTGAGAGAAGATGATTACCATCAAGGATAAACAAAGATGATCCAATATAAGGATAACTGAGGATACCACTGATGGAAGGAAGACAGAAGGGAGGGAGAGAAGGATGGAGGGAGAAGGTTTTAGTGACATTGACCCAGGGAAAATTTTCCTGAAGTGAAGAACTAAATCTGTACATCAAAAGAATATACTGTGTTCCAGGAATCTTTGGCAAGATGCTCCATGCCAAGACAGCTTCGTTTTGCTTTTTAATTTCAAGGATTAAGAAAAAATAGTTTAGGCATCCTGGTAGAATAAAAAAATATCTACAAGGGGGAAAAATCCGTTGACCTCAGGATTCTCCTCAAGAATACCCAATGCCAGAAGACAAGGTGGAAAAACAACATTTTGAGGAAAAGAAAGAATGATGGAAGAATTATACCCAGCTACGTAGTTGTTCTAATAAAAAAAAAAGGGGAGAGATAGTATGAAAAAACAAAAGGAATAAAGCACCCATGAGCCTTTCTTGAGGGAATTACTTGACAATGAAATCCAGCCAACCAAAGAATAAATCAAAACAAAGAACTCTGGAAGGGCTGAACTATGGCGGCACTGGAGCAGAGTGATGTGCATTAAGTCCATGTAAATATAAAACGCAGGCAAAACAACCGGGGGAATTACAGTAACAGAACAAAATGTATATATTATAAACTCTGACTGAGAACAAAATATAGACAGCAAAAATTGTGAGGTGGGAGGGGTTGGGAAGAAACACAGGAAGTGCCAGTCACAAGGAGTTTCCTAGCCAGCCTTCAAAACACCATCATTTCTCCAACTCTTCACGGCTTTCTTAATCTCTTTTTTTTTTTTTTGTCTCAAAACCCTTTTTGGGGGCTTCCCTGGTGGCGCAGTGGTTGAGAATCTGCCTGCCAATGCAGACAACACAGGTTCGAGCCCTGGTCTGGGAAAATCCCACATGCCATGGAGCAACTGGGCCCGTGAGCCACAATTACTGAGCCTGCGCATCTGGAGCCTGTGCTCCGCAACAACAGAGGCCGCGATAGTGAGAGGCCTGCGCACCGCGATGAAGAGTGACCCCCACTTGCCACAACTAGAGAAAGCCCATGCACAGAAATGAAGACCCAACACAGCCATAAATAAATAAATAAATACACTGTGTATTATTAAAAAAAAAAAAAAAAAAAAAAACCCTTTTTGGGACCTGATATCTCTTGTGGTAAAGAAATATTTATCCCAAGTTCAGAAATATCTTTGGCTTCACTTGAGGACATTATATCATGTGGAGCACCCGGGGTTCAGACTGGGCCCCAGGACGCTCTGCCGGGGTAAACCTGGGGCAGGTCATTAAGCCTCCTCGTGCTTCAGGTTCCTCATCTTGAAACCGGGAAGATAATGTGCTTAACTCCTGGAGTTGCCGCGAGGACTGAACACCTGAGGGGCGCTTACAACACTGCCTGGCACAGAGGCAGCCCCATAAAAGGGTTAATTATGAGGGTGATGATGACGATTTTTTTTTTACTTCTGGTAAATTAAAAGAAATTTAAATTAAATATGATTTATTTGTAAAAAGGAGCATGATTCTCTTCCTATAAAATTATTTCTATCTATGTATCCACCCACCCACCTGCCGATGCAGCAATCCTTCTATACATAGAATAAAGACAGGCCTAGAATTATGTTCACCAAATGTTGCCTTTGATTATTTCTGGGTGGTGGATTTTGAATAATTTATTACTTTCTTCTTTATACTTTTCAGAATTGCTTACATTTTTTGGAATGGTCATGTTTTCATAAAAACAATAATTCATTAACAACAAGAAGAGAAAACAAGTTTTACCGATTTACCAACAGAATATTTATGCACTCCCCCTTCAACGCCCTTATCAATATTGGCTTCTGTTAATTTCTTCCGCATTGATGATTTTCTACTGAGAATTTTATATTAATAATTTATAAAAGTTCTACATATGTTAGGAACAGTTATTATTTATCTGTCATTTACGTGGCACATGCTTTGCCAAGTTTATCATTTGTACAAAGTTTTGCTGTACAAGTACTTTTTCATTTTAATATAGTCAAATTTATCAGTCTTTTTCTTTATGGCTTTGGGGCTTTACTTCATGCTTAAAAGTCTAAATTTCAAGATTAAAAATTTTCACCTAGATTATTTATTTTTAAATTTAAATAGTGGGGGCATACAGAATTTATTTCGGTGTGGAGCGTGGAAGGTTCCAAGCTTTCTTCCCCACATGGCCGGCTAGCGAATTATCCCAGTAATAATTACTGAACCTTCTCCTCCCTCGTCCCCACCATACTTTATTGGAATGCCTCACATCATATGCTAAATTCACATCTCAAGATGGGCCCACCACCCAACTACTGTTTTAAATCAATTTGAATGTTCACTGCTGCACCACTGTCATAATGTCTTAATTATTGTACCTTTAAAAATATTTTATATGTGATAGGATAAGCCCTCTATTGTAACTTTTCAAAAGAAAA